TTTTTCAAACATACTTTGCTGCAATGCCATCCTTCCCTCTTTTCCTCTTGTTTTGTCCTCTTTTTGTCCTCTTTTTGTTTTGTTTTGTTTTGTTTTGTTTGTTTGCTGTCTCGATTTCCTACAAGCTTCCTCTCCATCATCCTTTATTTTTCTTCTTTTTCTTTCGGAGTATCAATTGGACTGGACTGCACCGGACTGGATTATGGCATGGCGATTTTCTTTTCTTCTTCTTTTTAGCGTTCCGGAGATATTGGGTGATGGGAATTTTCTTCTTTTTTTTCGTGTGTAGGGAATTCTTGATGTCATATATATCGATATATCGGGACAGATTGATTTTGGGGGTGGGAACGAGGGGAAATATATTCACATATTCAAATCATGACATTGCAACTTGACAAGTACTCGACTCAAGCGCATGACTTTGATCCCGATGGTCAATACAGGTACGAGCGAGTGTAGCGAGGGCAGAATTGACACCGCAGTAGTAGTAGTAGTAGTAGTAGTTAGTAGCATCATCGCGACAGTATCATCACGACAGGACGTGCGAGCGAAGCGAGGTGGGACCTCCTCCCCCCCCCTCCCTGGGTAGGGGCTGCCGGAGGTTACATGTATCATGTACCAAAAAAATAAGAATAAAGGTTTAGTGTACTATACAGATGATCAGTTACTTGGTATCTGACACACAGACATGCAAGCGTAGCGACAAGGAGCCCTTGTAGGGGGATCGCCAGAAGCACATCGAAGGAGGTATGAACATTGTCCCCATGTCGGAGAGTGTGAACAAGACATTTGGACATGCATGGGTTAGAAAAAAGTTGACCTCGTTGAAGGAATCGACATGGTATTATGTAAAACCAAGAAAGAAAAAAGAAAAAAAAAAGCTATTCTACATATGCATCAAGTCTACATGCGCGGCTTGACACCCGAGGCAGCTGGTAGTCAAACGTAGCCGTTGGTACCCAGCCACTCCCTGAGCAGAGCAGAGTCACGGCCCTTGTAGGCGGCACGTCCGCGAATCTTGTCGCGCACGGTCCGCAGGGTGCGGTCGAAGCCGCTCGTGTCCTTGTCCTCGAAGAAGGCGTCGATGTCGGCGATGACGGCCTCGTCGGTGAAGCGGCTCAGGCTGACGTTGACGAAGCGGTCGACGACGATGGGGTTGCTGATCTTGGCCACGATGGCATCCCAGTTGGCCTGGATGAACGCCCACTGCAGCGGGCGGCCCACCACGTTGGCCGACAGCGACCCGCTCAGCACGTGCATGTCGGCGCTGGGCACGGCGTTCGAGGGAGGCGACGTGTTGAAGTTGAAGGGTATGATGGACTCGCTGAGGATCTCGGCGTCCTTGACGAGGCCGAGGACGCTCAGGCAGAAGAGCTTGCCGTCGATCGACTTGGTCTCGGCCCACTCCCTCTTGAGGATCTGCACGGCACGCGCCGCGTCCTTCTGGATGCCGGCGCGCCACACCGACGAGCGGAGGGACGGGTGGATGGGGTTGGCTTCCTGGTCCTCGGCCCAGGCGTCGAAGCGGCCGAGGGCTTCCCGGGTGACTCTGCGAGGGTGTCTTGTCAGTGCTGGACGGTGGAGGGGGGGACGTGTCCGGGTTGAACCTGAACCTGGGGGTGGAGGGGGGCATACTCGGGGTGATCGCTGGCAACGGCGGATCCGATCAGGGACTTGCGCAGGATGCCAACCAGGTAGTCCTCGCCCTCGGGGAAGTCCCAGCCAACCTCCCTGACCTTGCGGTCAATGAGCTTGAGGACGAACTTGTCGAGACCCTGCTTGATCTCGGGGTCCTCGCCAAAGACCGACTTGACCTGGGCGACGGTGTCGAGGATCTGGCTCCAGACCAGGGGGTGCTGCTCTTGGGAGAAGCCCTGGAGGAAGGTGAGGAGCGAGGCCGTGTTGCCGTCGCCGGCGAAGGCGAGGTCGGCGGCGGAGCCGATGATGGAGATCTTGTCCTCGGTGGACAGGCGGTCGAGCTGGGTGCTCAGCCTGGCCAGCCTCGAGGCCGGGTAGTTGACGCGGTAGAAGCCGGTGGCGCCGCTGTTGAGCTTGTAGAAGTCGTCGTCGATGCCGGTGATGGTGTCCTCCTTCTTCTCGAGCGAGACCGAGGCGACGCCGGCCTCGCCCTTCTTGCCCTCGAGGCCCAGAGGCACCCACCAGGTGGTGGTGTCGTCCTCGGGCCCGACGTCGCCGGTGGACAGGAAGCGCGACTGCCTGACCGAGATCTCGCCGGGCCTCTCCTCGACGGTGAGGACGGGGTGGCCGATCCTGGAGATCCAGGGGTGCATGATCCTGTCGACGGGCTTGCCCGAGGCCTCGCTGAGGGCATCCCAGAGGGCCTGGGTCTTGGCGTTGCCGTAGGCGTTGGCCCGGAGGTAGCTGGCGACGCCCTTGAGGAAGGTGTCGACGCCGAGGTGGTTGGCCAGCATGCGGATGGCGGAGCATCCCTTGAGGTAGCTGATGGAGTCGAAGATCTGGTTGACGTCGAGGGCGTCGCGGACGGGCACGTGGATGGGGTGGCTGGCGCGGATGCCGTCGAGGCGGAAGGCGCCCTCCATGCCCTCGTTGACGAACTGGGCCCAGACCTGCCAGTCGGGGTGCAGGTGGTCGACGGCGTACCATCCGACCCAGGTGGCGAAGCCCTCGTTCAGCCAGAGCTCGTCCCACCAGTCCATGGTGACGAGGTTGCCGAACCACTGGTGGGCCAGCTCGTGGGCGACGACGTAGGCGACGGCGTTCTTGAACCGGGCATCCGACGTCTTCTCGTCGTAGAGGACCTGGGTGGTGCGGTAGGTGACGAGACCCCAGTTCTCCATGGCGCCGTGGGTGAACTCGTGGACGGCCAGCAGGTCTGACTTGGGCAGGGGGTAGTCGATCTCGAAGATCTCGGAGAAGAAGTCGATGATCTTGGGGGCGTGCTCGAGAGCCCAGCGACCCTGCTCCTTGAGGCCGCGGGTGGTGTAGACGCGGACGGGGATGGGGCTGCCGTTGTACTCGCGGTCGGTGTAGGCCTCGACATACTCGAAGTCACCGACGGCCCAGGCCAGAAGGTAGGTGCTCATGACGGGGGACGTCTCGAAGGAGACCAGGTTCCAGCCATCCTTGGTAGGCTTGACCTCCTTGACGGGCATGTTGCTGAGGGCGACCTGGTCGGCGGGGACCTCGATCTCGAAGTCAAAGGTGGCCTTGAGGTTGGGCTCGTCGAAGCAGGGGAAGGCACGGCGGGCATCGCACGACTCGAACTGGGTGCTGAGCATGTAATGCCACTCGCCGTCGCGGGGCACCGACTTGGCGGGGGTCTCGACGGGCTTGTACTTGCTGCGGTAGAAGCCGGCCATGTCTCCGTTCATGATGCCCTCAAACTCGACGGTGACGGTGGCCTTGTCGGCGACGGGGATCTCCTGGTCAAAGGCGATGGTGGCGCGCTGGGCCTTCTCGTCATAGGAGAAGTTCTTGGAGGAGTAGACGTTGCCGGAGGTGACCTTGGCGTCGAGGAGCTTGATCTCGAGAGTGTTGAGGACGATGTCCCTGGTAGGCTTGTTGATCTGAGCGTCGATTCTGCGAGGCGTGTAGGTGAGCGTGTATTCTCTCGCACCTTCTTCTTCCTTCCTCTCTTCCTTCTCTGCCCTCTCTCCCCTCTCTCTCCACTCTCTCCATTCTCTTCTTCTTCTTCTTCTTCCTCTTCTTCTTCCTCTTCTTCCTCCTATCTTCCCTCTTCTCGATGCGGCGTAGGGGTAGGAGGATGGGGGAGAGCAACGTACGTGACAGTACCCTTGTAGGTCCACGTGTCAAATTCGAGGTCCCTGAGAGAGACGACGTAGTGAGTGGGCTTCACATTGTCGGGGAGCACCTCGCGGTCCGTCATGGTTTCAAGTCTATCGGCCCTCGCGTGGGCGGAGCAGCTGCGGCTAGGAGTGTGAGGGAGGAAGGGGCTGTTATCGTCAGCGGGGGTGTTTCTCTCTCTCTCTCTCTCTCTCTCTTTTCCTATTGAGGGAGAGTGCGTGACTGTAGGTGACGGCACAGTCCAGGGGAAGAGAAGTGGTCTGTCTATCTGTTCGTTTGTCTGTTGAGAAGATGGGGGAAGAGGAGGGCAGTGATGGTGGTTGTGCAGTGATGGTGGTTGTGGGAAGTCGTCGATGAGGAGGGGTAGTTCTCTGGAGTGTTGGCGGGGTTATTTGTCTGGGAAGTTGACGTCGGGCCGGTCTGGATAGCGGGGCAGGGGACGTCTGTGGAGGTGTGTGTAGAGGGAGGGCTGCAGTGATGCCATATGGGGGGGGGGGATGTGACCTAGGCTAGGCAGCCAGTGGATGGTCGCCTGCTGAGATGGAAGGCAACGGTAACGGTATACAAGGAGAGAAGGCCGACTCACTTCTTCAGCTGTTGCCTTCCCGAAGCAGCAGCAGCGGCAGCCAGAGCAGGCGATCTCAGCAATGGAGCTGATGCCGTGATGCCCTTACGGACGATACCGTTGATCCTACCGTTTCCACTGCTGCTGCTGCTGCTGCTGCTGCTGCTGGAAATCCCACGACGCTGCGATACGAGCGTAGCAGACATTGCCGCGGACTCTGATGCTGCTGCTGCTGCCGCCGCTGCTGCCCATCGGAAGCAGCTGGTGGTGCTGCCCCACCTAGAGGCTGCTTGCCGAATCAGGCATCTGCTCATGGTGGAGGTACTTTTTGTTTTTTTCTTTTCTCTCTCTCTCTCTCCCTCCCTCTCTCCCTCCCTCTCTCTC